GTATACACGCAAGCACACTATCACACTTAACGAGACTTCTAACAAGATAACGAGGTCTTAGGTCTTTCAAGAGGCTTACTTTGTTAATAACACGGAAAATCACGATTCCTATTTGCGTAGTACACGGACGGCATCCAAACGATGCCCTCCTTCGTTTCACGTGACTAAGTTAACAATGAAACTTAACAAACGCACGCAAACTCACTTCAACATTTTGTTTTCAAACGTGTTAACGATTTGTTTTGTACTTATTTTAAATCACGAAAGCTTTATAGGATAATAGAACGTTTAAAGTAAAAAATGCGAGGTTTATTTCGTAACTTTGTAATTATTATTTATTCTATTTGGTACTTATTAAATAAGACAAGTATTTACAACGCTAAAAGGTAACAATTCACTTTGACAAAATGTCAGGTCGTAGATAAAATAATGGAAAAAATATATTTTGCGTATTAAGCTGTCAAATGGGTTTTATTCGAAAGGTTAATCTTAGAACGACAAATCTAATCTCTTAAAGCCTATTTATAATTATGACCATATTTTTATGTAGACGAAAAGAGAAAGCGAACGAAACCGATCAGGAGGTACGGTATTCGGATGAATTTAAAAACGGTATAGGTGTGCTTTGGGACAGAAGCGCAAACGACAGCTGAGTAGAAGGCTACGGAAGAGAGTTTTCCGATAACTAACCTAACATTAATAGCCTTTAATAAAAATATATAAATTGCAAACAAAATGTAAACATGTAAAACTTAAGTTAATAAACTCCTTACATCACTTAAATCAGAGGCAATTCAGTCTCCCCGTGACCACGACTGCCGCAAAGCATCCGAAACGTTGGACCGAAGTTAAAAATAATTTACAAATATAACGAATGTATATCGCGTTTTAAACTTTTAAAGTGTTTTATATAAATGTGCACTACTCGCGTAAACTACAGACAGTATTTACTATTTTTACTGCAATTTTCAACATTTTCCCTAAACTTTCTTATGCAAGAGAATATTCTAGAAGCTCTAAACAATATGTCGTAGTACAACGTTATGTCTAAACAGTCTGTTCTTGGAGCGATTAAATAAGATACACGAGTTGATACAAGAGACAATAGAATCTTGTGAACGGCCCTATTAAGGAAAGTATTTTACGGTAAATATATAAACAACTATTTGTTATTGTGTCTTTAAGTTTACAGAAGATCGTTGAAAGGGCAGCGGGAGATTGAAATATTTAGTTTTATTTATTATAAAAATATAGTACCAATATTCTACTTTATATCCTTCCTAATATTATAAACCTAAAAAGTTCGTTTGTGTGTTTAAACGCGCTATTTTCTACTGGTTGAAAATTATATTTTGTGTTCGATAGACCATTTCTTAAGGAAGCTTTTAGGCTATTAAACATTACGCTGCGATGATAGGAGCGAAGAAACGTGGAACAAGAAAAAAAAAAAAAAAAAAAAAAAAAAAAAAAAAAAAAAAAAAAAAAAAAAAAAAAAAAAAAAAAAAAAAAAAAAAAAAAAAAAAAAAAAAAAAAAAAAAAAAAAACCCCCCGCGGGGGGGGCCCCCCCCCCCCCCCCCCCCCCCCCAAAAAAACCAAAACCCCGCGGCCAAAAAAAAAAAAAATTTCCAAAAAAGTTTTCCTAAAATATCGCGTTTTAAACCGTAAGTGTTTTATTTAAAACGGGACAACAATTCATAATTGAATTTGTGTTCCGATGCTTCATTGAATCATTTAAAACGCAAAATATATGTAAGTGTTTAGTACTTGACTCGTGATTTGTAAAAGCTTTAGGCACTCGACCTAACTAGGGTATCAACCGGGAACGTGATCAAAAATATTTTAATTTATTACGCGCTTCTTAGTCGTTAAATACTTTATCAAAAGCATAACCTACACGCAATGAATTAGACTTTTTAAATTTATTATTTAATTTTCAGCGCCAGCATATCGTAAGCGCACAAATAGCGTGTGAACCTTACAGCTTTCCCCTCATTACAGGGCAGGACGGGTGCAAATGCGTGTTGAGAGGAAATCCGTCATATTAAGAAATAGCAAGATAATATGGAGGATATTATGTCTTAGAGCTTAGCTGGAACATTCTATGTCACAGTTAAACTGAGACTAGCGTGTGAAATGTTTAGATGGCACCTAAACTATCCGCTTATCTTATATTATGCGTATTAAAATTCAGCATAATTAAAAAAGGTAAATTTATTATAGACGATGACAAACAAACACAGGATCCACTTAATGGAAATACCCCAGCCATATCACATCTAAAAAAAGATGAACTGTCAAACTATTTTTGGCATTATAATTTTATTTAATATCTTTGACATGGAAAGACAGTTATTTTCATACATGAGAACTTTAATAAATTTAAAATCTACAGGCAGGGGTCAAACCTACTCTAATTGTGTAATTTCTTTATTCACAGCACTATTTCTATTGATAGCGCAATCTAATTTCACATTAGCACAGTATTGTACTTGTATGTTGTTCTGTTCTTGCGAAAGAAGACAGACAAGCATGAAATTCAGGTCAATTTTTGTTTTAGGAAATGTGATACAGCTAACAGACATTATTTTGCATTGTGCGGGAAATCGAATTCACGACCCGCTGATTATTACTGCTATTGCACTAGGCTTGCACATTGCACAACTGTATTTAAAGACCAGTATAAACTCAAAAAAAGACTAAAAGCGACTTAAAATATATGGTAAAAACAATTTTAATGACCGATGTCATGTTAATCAGCAAACGATCTGGAATAAGCTCCTTGCGGTCTTGAGATTTATGTACTAAGTGCTTTGTAAAAAAATAAACCGATCTTGTAATATTAAAACGTTTAAAATACTAAATGATAGAAATAAGTACTTTGGTTTTTCATAACATGTTCTTTTTGTGCTCATGGTAATTGTTTTTAGCAAAACAAGACTTTTAAATAAAACACTTTAACGGTTTAAAACGCAATATATTAAACTTATTTGTAAATTAAATTTAAAATGATTTTTAACTAATATATCGCGTTATAAACCGTTAAAGTGTTTTATTTAAATGTGTACTCCTCGCGTAAACTATAGACAACGGGACTTTGGTTAATTCCTATCGATTCTTATTTATGTCCAAAGGTTTAAATACAGTTAAGAAATGACTATGAAGTTTACATTGCATTATTTTTAAATAATTAATCCTTTACAACTTTCTCTATTATATTCCCCGCACTTAATTATTAAAATTAATTAACACGGGTTAACTTTGTGCCATAAGCGCCTAGTTTATGCATTAAGGCTTAGGACTTTAAGCTGCATGATTAATGGTTCACGTGTCTTCCAGTGCAGCAACAGCAGGAAACCTATTAGGTGGTGTGCACTTGATATATTGTTTCTTATGTGACAGCTGCTATTTTAACAGCTAAAAGAGAGTTATGCTACGCGAACAATAAAACCTCATTTGAGCTTCGGCAAAAATCGGGTACGTAACCAAAAAAAAGGGGGTGGGGTTCTCTTTTAGGACGGCTTCGCTATCTTTGCTCACATTGCGATTATGATTTTTTATAGATCACTTTAAAATATTTACGAAATATGTACTTAGTTGTATTTTTACTTTAATAATAAATACTGATTTAACGGCGGCTCGCGAGACAAGAAATCGAATGTTTTTGCGTATTTTTGGTCATTTCGTGTTGCCATCTATGTATTAATATCAACCTTATTTTAGCATATATTTTTTTTTAAGTTGCCATTCTCTTTTCACGGTTTTCTCTACATATTTTTTTTCTATAGCTTTAATATAAGCATTATCCGAGGCAATGGAGCTTAAATTGGACTAACTGCAATTAAAAGCTTGTTCTATCGATGAAAATGCCGATTTAAATAATAACGTACGACCATTTGATTTTACTTTACATGCTAGTGTAGAAACGACGGTAAAAATAGAAATAACAATCAAGACAGCCTCATGACTTCGCGTACCATCACGTAGTCGATTTAAATCTAAATCGAAATGAGTATGGAGTCACAATTGAGAACGACATCAAATGAAAACTAAAATCGAATCCAGTGTCGATTCCCCGAGTTGCATCTATCGATTTGTTTTTACAATTGCGGTCCAGTTAGACGTGCAATATGTGTGCCACCGGACGCACGCGAACAGAGATGAGCTCAAATGGAGCGGACACTCGGCGTTAAGGGGAAGTACGGGCGGGCGTCTTTGCGATTGACACCTAACGGAAGCGTCCGCGTCGGCGATTTACGATAATTGCTATAATTGATGTCTTAAATAGCGTAGTTATATACTAAGCTAGCGTAATTGCAACAATTACCGTTGAATTATAAAATGCCTTTGAGAAAGGACGTTTTTGAGAAAAATTGCGTTAATTAAAATTAAATACTTTAACTGTTTAACGCGAAATGTAGTAGTTTAACTTAGCTCTATACAAAAGTTAGGACAATATCTTGTTTTAGTGTAAACGGTGTATATAAGTCTATATATATATTTATTAGTAGCTTGGTCGCTAGTGAGTAACCGGCCTTATCGAGAAAGCTTCTTACATAGTTTTAAGAGCGATCGGTCACTTGCCGGCATTCATCCGACCCCAAGGACGGCGCGATTCTGGTTACTCGAGCTAGGTCGATTTTTTGTTAGACACGGAGCTAAACGGTATGTCTTTTTGGAATTCAATTTATTTTCTTGATAACAATGTAAACAAACAATTTTGTATCGAAACCGCGTGTGAAAAGCGTAGTCAAAACATTTAATTTGCCTGCGTTTTATCGCTCTTTTATTGTGTGTGTGTCTTTTACATTCTCGTTTCCGAAAAATTTCATCAAAATTAAAAAAAATAGTCTGTGTAGACGTGGACACCGTAACGTATAAATTACAACTAGCCTAAGAAGTAAACTTCATATTGAGAATATAATTTAAAAAAATACATAACTTTTTGTGAGACAGTCGACAAAACAATAGTCCCATATAAACATCTTAAAAGTTGTACTTACACTGACTAATGCTAAAACGAGCCAAAGTACTGTTGTCCGCGATATTTGTGACGCGACTTTTGTCGCCATTCTAGACCTGAAACAAAAGAATTTTGATTACTAAGAGAATAAATGATAAGAGCACATTAAGGCTGACATAGGGAATATAAAGAGTACGGTCTGTAGCTTACACGACTAGCACAAATTTAAATAAAACACTTTAACGGTTCAAAACGAGATATATTAGTTAAACTTATTTGAAAATTATTTTACCTACGGCCCGACGGTTTTTTGCAGCAGCCGTGTTCACGGGGACACATGTAATATATATATCGCGTTTTAAACTGATAAAGAGTGTTTTATTTGAAAAGGTATAAAGGAACGGAAACAACGATTATAATATAAGTTATACACTAATATATTTAAACATCATTACTATATCTATTAATTATAATTGAAATAAATATATTTTTATATCGTAAGTCATGTACAATAAACCTAGTATAGATATGGTTGTTCGTTCTGGTTCGCATTCTGACAACATGTATATTCTCTACTTTCAACGAATTCGCATAATATCTTCGCAAAGCGTAAAAGAAATTTAAGATAAAAATTTTGACACTATAACCGGATGCATAGTTCACGTGAATGTTAGAATTCATAGCGATTTACATAAGTGAAAATATCAGCATAAACAAACTAGTTTGCTTAGACGTTTTGCTTTCTCGTGACGATAACTGTCCCCATCGCCAACTTATATCTCAAGGCTACCGTTTATTTTCCATCTTATTGCTTTTTTGCATCTTATTACAGCCCATTATTATCTCTTATAAAGCATCTGAAAAATCTATCTTCTATCTTGGGTTCGGTGGTCTAATGGTAGCAGTATGGCTAATAATAAATCGGTTGGGTTCGAACCCAACCGGGCCCAATATGTTACTAATTTTTCTGAAACATATTGATCTCCGTCCGGAAATCTGGATATTAAATGAGTAGTAGGAATATAGACACTACTATGCTACATCTCGCAAAGGACACTAGTCGATTTCAAAAGCTAACGGCCAACCTTCAGTAATGGAAAGGCGCGAGAAGAAGAAGGAATATAGCAATTTCGTCCGGGTCACGAACTACCGTCCAGATGAAAAAGCCGTGAATCTTAATCGCGTTTCGGTTTCAGTCTGTGGATTTCCAAATATCCAAAGCCAAAAAAGGTCGGCCGCGCATCTTGTTAAAATGTTACCCCATGCTTATATATCATTTAATATCGTGAAAGAGATATCCAATCATTAGGCTATTGTTTGACGCAACGCCATTCTGCTAGTTTACCCAGAGCAACGAAAACGTCAACTGTGAAAATACAACGACAAGAAACAGCGAAACCTCACGAAAATTCACCATTGAAATCTAGAGCGAAGAGAATCTAAGAATCGCATTTAGAAGAAATAGCGTAGATCATGCCGTTGATAAAATTGTTCGTCATGCGAGCTTAGAGGATAGCATAAACATTACAGTAAATATTAGTTATTTAAATACCAATAAATATATATCTCTATATGTTGACATTAACACGCAATTTAACGGTTCCATCCGGTATATACAACGATCATTAACATTTTCTAAAACTAATTTCTATTTTAGTCGCGTGCTGAATAGAGGAAAATCTTATAATTAAGTGTTAGTATATTAAGAAATAGGTTCATTTCGCTTTTAAAACGTTTTATTACAGATTCATTTTGTTTCTGGTTTTATAAGAATCCAGAAGGTATAATGACATGCCAAACAGACGTTCCAAATAACTTTAACTAATATATATCGCGTTTTAAAGCGTTTTATTTAAACAACATTTAAGTAACCTTTAAATATTCTAGCGCTTTATATATACAAGGGAAGAGAGTCGTTTTGCCTCGTTTATCATCTAGTCCATATAATCGATACGAAGAGCGATCGATGTTAAAATCGTTGGTTTTTTGCTCGCATCGAAAGTGCATTATTATTGGCCGGAATGCGTGTCCGACAAGCATGCTCTGTCCACTAATGTGTTTCACCTTGTTTCAAATAATTTCGACTGCTAATTTCATTCGATTTCGAATCATGCACCTATAGATGTAAATGTGACGGGCTCGTTGGTGTCAACCGTGCCCAGGGCAAGACAAGATGAGTATCAACGGCAATATATTAATTATAAAAAGCTTTCTTGACCAGCATATAATTGTTTTTCGGGCTGTTCGGCCGACGTAACCGAGAAGAGGTTCTCGACTTTTCGCCATCACGAGCGGACGTCACCATCAGGAGATGTTAGCTCCTCGATTGCTCGAATAATTGTATCGAAACGTCGCGAACCTCTTCTCGGTTACGTCGACCGAACTGCCCGAAAAACAATTATATGCTGAACGATGGCCGTGATTTTAAATTATTAAGTTATATAAGATTTACTACTTATGTATTTTATAATTTTAATAGGTTGGTAAATGGTATGACTTACAATAATCAATGTAAAATAAATTTATAATTATTCAGGCGTCTGGAATAGGAACTCTGTCCGGGTCACCGACATTGTCATAAATTTTCATGGAACACCGTGAGATGGATAGAGTGTGAATCTGCGTTTCGGTTGCAGTCTGTGTGTTTTTGTAAGTATAGTTTCAACATAGGCCGACGACGCATCTTTTTGATGTTAAATGGCTAAAAGAAATTCACCTTTTACTAAACCCCATGGTTATCTGTCCTCTTCTGTTGCACACAATCCAAAATAATAAAACAATTTGAATAAATTTTAAAGTCAAATACATATTACGAATACGAAAATAACTGCTAAGTCAGAAGAAATGAATATTAACAATTTCTAATTTTAGTGTTGCCTCAGGCAAATATTTCCGATAAGAGTTATAAAGTGTGGGCGACTCATTAAAAGTAATCCGCGATTTAATTTATACAAGAACAAGCATGATCGATTGTACAATAACATTATTAGTAGAGCATATGTTTTAGTAGCTTATAAAAACAATTTAGATTGCGCGACTATCGATAAGAAACAACCGATTTGTAGTGAATGAAGTGTAGAATCTCGTTTTCTCTACTAGGGGAATGGGGCAGACACACTTCTGCGTCCGTTTTAATTTCAGGCAAGTGGTCGTCACATTAGTATTGTTTCGAAAGGGATTCGAACCTTATCCTGCACTGATCCAAGGAGGTCCGATTGAGCTGCGTGTATTATTTGAGTATTGTATTTCAGCGGGTAGTACACGAAAAGAAGAAATGCTTTATAATCCCTAATGTCAAAGCCAAATCTGCTACCCGTACTGCGTACCTTCTTAGAAAAAATTGACTTTCTTTTACAAGGATGTTTAAAGTTAGTCAAAGCGAATGTAGTGATTGGTAACTTTGAAGTTTTATATTTATAAAGATATTTTTACTGTGATTATTTCACGCTTTTGATGTTATTGTTTCGGCTGTAAAAAATAAACACCTGCAGCGTATTAGCTGCGAGTTGAAATTTTTCACACATTCCACGGTGCGCGGGAAGGTTTCATCAATCAAAACTGGTATCTCTCGCCGTTAGACTCTGCCTCTTAAACCTAAGTGAATAATGAATTTTCATTGTCTAGACAGCGCGTTTAAAATTATTGCTAAACGATAACGTGTTTTTATAAATACGATTAATTTATTTAAATGACTTTGAAATGTTTATAGTCGTAATAAGATAGGTTTAGTTAGATCCCATCTATACTAATATTAAGCTGAAGAGTTTGTTTGTTCGTTACCTCGTGTAAACGGGCTTATATGAGGAACTATCTACTGGTTAATAGATTTTTTTTTTGTGTTGGATAGACCATTTATCGAGGAAGGCTTTAGGCTATATAACCTCACGCTTAAAAGGATCTTCTAAGTATTGAAATTTTACAAGTATTTTGTTATCATTAGGTACAGTCAAAATATGATATTTTGGGTTCCGTATAACTGAAATATTTCTTACTGAGATTCAAACCCTGTACCTTTAGAGACCGTCAGGCAGTCGATATTAAAATTAATAGCGAATAATTAGTTTTAATAATTTAAAAAGTAGTGGTTCTTCCTTTCGCTCTTTGTAGTCTCTTGTTTATATACTAAGTACGAATCGGCGTTTGTATTATAAGGTAATAGCAGACTGCGTCGATATCATAGGCAATAACGTTCTCCGGCAGAGAACCCTATATCGTCGGTAACTACCTAGCCCCGAAGCACTGTAGTCCCGTAAACACGGGGCATTGAAGTAAAAGCGTTTGTTTTATTAGAGTTATTTCATAAGTGAATATAACCTTAAAATTGCAACCCTATGTTTTAGTAAAATATATGTGCTAGTGGTTTTGTAAAGAATCTAAAATTGGAAAACTTGTTTTAAGAGAAGATGTAATTGACACTTTTAAAGATAAAAGGACTTATCATTCATGATAATATTTGAATAATACCGAAACATTTCAATATATACTGTACTTATCTGCACTCGAGACGAAATTTACTAAAAAGGTGCTCAGTATGTAAGTTTACTAGTTACTAAATATGAAGTACTTGTTTAATCATTGAAAAGTAACTACTAAACTTAATGAAAAAAAATTACGTAGTAAAAAACTTAAAGTTTTAAGATAATTTGAACCTAGTGACTATTTAAAATAGGTTGACAATTTTATTAAGAATCGTGTATTGTAATCTTCTCACAACGCTGTAATTTATTTATTTATTAAAATTCGTACAACATTACATTAAGTTCATATATAACCAAAAATTATGCGTAATTAACTATTTCAGACTTAAGTAACTATGACAGTACAAATATATATTATACAACTATGAATCTTCCTATCTATGAATAAGTGATAATTAATTTAAAGAAATATAATAATAATAAAAGAGAAAAAAAATCTAAAAGAGTACAAAATGGCATGGTAAGAAAAAAAAACTTAAATAATTATGTAAACCTAATGTTAATTACTGTGACACAACTTAGTAAAAAGTTGTCTTTTGAATGTGCTTTGCTTGCTCCTGAATATATCTATATCCTTATCTGTGCGACAAAATTTATTATAAGATCGCATCATTCGAGCAAAAGGTGCTTGATTTCCCATGTTTGTTTTGACGGGGGGAGTGTAGAAGGTGTTACTGATGGTAGAACGAGGATATGAATGTGGAACACTAATATTAATTGATTCTATAAGGTAAGTGCACTGGATCTGACAATTAATGACTTTAAACAAAAACATAGCCTCTGCTACGAGTCTTCTATTGTACAATGAACACATTTTAAATTTTTTGAGTCGCTCAGCGTATGGTTGTCTATGAGAGAAGCCACTACCATTATATGCGAGATGCCTTGTAAAAGTCCTCTGTATACTTTCAATGCGTTGTGTGTGTATAGCATATAAAGGATTCCATATAATATCTCCATAAACGAGATGACTGCGCACTAGAGAGTTGTACAACACAGTTTTAGTTTTGGTGTTGAAACCATTTGTGTTACGTTTTAAAAATCCCAACATTTGTGCAGATTTAGTTACTGCTGCGTGAATCTGAGGTATGAAAGTTAATTTACTGTCTAGGATTATTCCAAGGTCGCGAATTTCAGAAACCTCTTTGAGATGCGCGCCGTCAAGCTCGTACACGTTGGCAAGCGGTTTTTTTTTTCTTGTATATTTTATATGGAAACACTTAGCTGCATTAAGGTACATGTAGTTTGAAGAACACCACTCTTTTATAGAATTAAGATCATCTTGAATAAGGTTGGCGTCAGAATCGGACTTTATAACCCGGAAAATTTTTAGGTCGTCCGCATAAAGAGAGACTTTGCAATGTTTAATATGATCCTTAACATCATTCAAAAATAACACAAAGAGCAATGGCCCAAGATGCGATCCCTGAGGGACTCCAGATTGTACAATATATGGATCAGCCTTCGACCCACGAATGACTACCGTTTGAAGTCGATTATAAAGATAAGATTTAAACCATTTTAGCAATCCTCCGCCTATTCCGTATGAAGAAAGTTTACGAAGCAGTAAGGTGTGATTAACATTATCAAAGGCGCTACTAAAATCAGTATATATCGCGTCAACTTGGTGTCCCCTATCTATTTCCTGACACAGTTCATCAACGAAACATACAAGATTTGTTTGGGTAGAACGACCTTTCCGAAATCCATGTTGGTCATCTGATATATATTTATCAAGGACTCTCGAAATAACACCATGTACAGCAGATTCGAAAATTTTAGAAAAACACGACAGTATACATATTGGGCGATCATTCTTCACACCCAAAATATCTCCGTTCTTGAAGACTGGAATTGAGTACTAAAACGAAGCTGTAATAACAGGTATCTAAGGATTTGCAACTAATGCTTTGTTCCGACAAATCGCTTTGATATTGTCGTGTGAATAATTCCTATAGTGTCATTTGAACATTCTCTCTAAAGTTTATATTTCAGAAAAATGTAGAGATATTTAAATAATAGACTTTAACGGTTTAACTCAAATTGTATTACTTAAATTGTTTGTAAATACGGCCCACGTTTCGGATAGCTTGTAGCAGCCGTGGTCACGGGAAGACTAAAGATGAAAGATGTCTCTGACGTCAAAGTAAAAAACTGCTACACTAGCGCCATCTGTTCCTTCGAAATTGGTATTTGGAAAATACCAACTTCGACGGAACCGATGGCGTTCAATACAGTTAAAATATTTTTTTAACAAGTTTAAACCTTTAAGTGTTTAATTTAAATGTGGACGCATAAACATTTTTTTATTACAGTCGACCTGCCCATTGAAATATATTTGATTAAAGAACTTAAAAATACACTTTTTATTTTGTAATCATACCAGGCAACGTTAGTTGAGATAGATATTAGACAATTTGAACTACCGCGTAATCTATGGTTTCCATTAAGAGATCAAAGTATTAGGCTTAATTTAAGAATGACTTGTTGAAATTGAGATGGACGCCTTTTGATGTTCCTTACTTGGGTATGCTTAACGAGATATTGTCAGCACGAAATTATATATTATTATATACATCTTCACTTTACAATCACAATGAAGAACTACTACTTATCAAAGTCACCATTGAAATGTTATTGTATGAAAAAAATATTAAAATAGCTTGTTCCTATCTGTTTGCTAGGTAGTAATGACGGAAATTGTATCTTAACATAAAACATAACGGAACGGCACGGAACGCTGTGGATGACGGTTCAAGTCCTGCCCGAGTCGTTTCTTCTTTTTTGTAGAAATAACCTTTCTTGTACGTATGAAATATAAAAATTGTATGATAGAGTAGGATAAGAAGTGAATTTTCAAATGTTAACGAACTCACCAGCTTCCGCACTTCCGGCGACTCGTGTTAGCCTTCCAAACGATCATCATGAACACAGCACTGTCATTAAACACAATTGTCACCTGTGATCAGCGGTCCTGTCACTACGCATATCCCCGTATCCACACAACACTACAACTCCGAACCTGTAGACAAAGAGAGAACTGTTATTACATCTCATTCACGCAATTGGTACATGCCGCACTGGGTACAATTCTGATTTACAGTGGATTTTTATAACTTGAGAAAAGACCACATCGAATATGGTCTATTTCAAACGATTGGGACCCGGTGATGATTTTATATAGAGTGTAGTTGATTCCGCAAAAGAGTTTGTTTGTTCAAATGCTTTTTGTGTTGGTTAGAGCATTTATCGAGGAAGCCTAAAGGCTATTAAACATTGCGTTGTGACTAATAGGAGCGAAGTAATAGAAGGAAACATGAAATCCGAGGAAAATTGTTCATCTTTGAGAATATTAACGTGTGCTGCGAAAGTCATTCAAGAAACCAAACATTACGTGTGATACAATGATTTCTCAATAAATGATATAAAACAAAATGTCGGCGACAGTACATAGGTATCTATACTTCAACATTATGTCTCACAAACGACGGAACGCGGACGACGTCCTGAGTAAAAGCTTAAATATATAGACTTGACCAGGACGTTTGCAAAAATAAATTTTGTTGCCCAAAATAACTATTCCAAGCGGATGAAGTCGCGGACACAGCTAGTGATAAATAGGACTGAAGAAGAGCGTGTTGTTACATAAATAATCAACTATCTATTTGAAATATGTTTACACCAAATATACTTATCGCAGTCAGTATCGGCTCTTATACCAGTTATAAACGAGTCGACTCCAAATGATTTAATTATTTCACCTATCGCTTTTATTACTTCCTCGGGCCTCATTGATAAACGCTGATCGGATATATTTTGCCTATAACAGAGAAATTTTCTAGAACTTTGTATGAGTAGCAATGGTGTAATAGTAGGAATGTACGGCTAATAAACAACAAGTCGTTAGATCCCCACTGAGTCCAACATCTAAGCAATTTATAATTTTTCTAAAATATTTTGGACTTTGTCTAGAAATCTGGATATTAAATTAATGGTAGGAACATCGAAAAGACGTTCGGGTCAACAAACACCGTCTGACGATGAAAAAGCCGAGAAGTTTAATCGCATTTAGATTTCAGTCAGTGGATCTCAGAATGTCCAAAGCCATCTTGCTAAAATATGGCTGTGTGGAGTACACCATCAAGTGTATCCCTAGTTATGTTTGTACGTATTACGACGGTTATATTTAGTGTAGTTTACGGGAGTATTACACATTCAAATGAAACAACGATTTAAAACGCGATGTATATTAATTAAACTTATTTGGAAATTATTTTAACTGCAGCCCGACGTTGCGGTTGCTTTGCAGCAGCTATGATGACACGGAGACAACGGCTGCTGCAAACGTCCGGCATTTAAATAAAATACTTTAACGGTTTAAAATGCGATGTATATTTGTTAAACTTATTTAAAAATAATTTTAACTACGGCCCGACGTTTCGAATGCTTTGCAGCAGTCGTGGTCTCTGCTTGACTTAGTGATATACTAATTTAAGCCCACAATAGAAATGTACTGTACTTAAATAATCACATACTTAGCCTCCGCATACTGATCGCTGTGAAGTCGAATCTTTCTCATTAGAGACGACCTCTGGCCTCGACGACACTGTGAAGTGCTTCGAGATTCACGTTCGACCCAAAATCAACTAGTCGTCTAGATAGAATTTCTATTATTCCCTTATACACACATCTGTACCGTTCACTTTCTCAGACGATCAATATATTTCAACAGTAATTTAATTTAAAATACAGATAAGCATAAATTTGACAAAAAATCGTCACAGATATTACACCTATAAAAATATTTGAACACATAAGTATAGTAAAAACACTCCCAATAATCTTCATTATTGATATAAAATTCTTTAATGCGCCTTTTAAATATGCGTGTACAAGAGATTAACGATTTCCTATAGAATGAATGGTTTTGTTAAGTTCCAAACTTAAACAAGAATCAGACGGAGTATAGGCAGACACGACAACGAAGCGGGCTACTATTTACAAATCCATTATTTATTGAAACACGTCGCACAGCATTCACATAGAGTAAAAGGCAACAGCTAAGTATGCGAAAAACTAAAATGATAATTGTTGTTTACGCGAGTAGTACACAATTAAATAAAACACTTTTAACGGTTTAAAACGCAAAAATAAAATATATCTTATGTTTAGACATTAGGGACACACGCAGTATTCATTTCCCCCGACAAATAAACGTCGAGCCGTAGTTAAAATAAAAATGGGTTGCTAATTTATTACGCGTTTGAAACGGTTAAAAGTGATGTATTTAGGTCTTGTATATGATATGCATTTTAGTTTACCGTCTGACATTAAATCGTTTTAAATATTTTTTTTGATATTCCAAAAATCTATTTTTAACTTAAGAATTCGCTATTGCATAGATTTCTTAATTATAAATCGAACTACCCTTCGTTCGTGCTTTTTCATGTCAGACAAATATAAAAAACTCGCGTTTGCTCAATCCACTTTAAATCATTGTAAATAATGCCACATGAAAATGTATTAAATAGATACATTTTGCACTATAAAAAATACGAAATCCTATTTATATTAAACTGCTGTTACGTTTTAAGCTACACAGTTATTTTGCTATGTTTCCCGCATCGGTCCGTCGTATGTGTACCGTTATATATTACGGCCCAGTCTACGTCACACCGATTCGTCGCCTCACATTGTAAATCTTTACTTAACTTTCTTTTTTCTATTGTTTTGTCTTAGCTTCGAGACTAGGAAATGAGGCAAATGTGTGCTAGAGAATAGTAAAAGCATCTCTATCTTTCAAGGATGTAGAATTAACAATTACTTTTGTGATTATAAACAAAATAAACAAACCCGATGCTTGCCCGAATAGATAGGTTCTCTCGATAAAAATGCGTTATAGGAACCTATTTTGACTTTGGACATTTACAATACACATAGATTAAAAAAAGCCGAAACTTTTTCCCATCTGTATTTTCGACGGAATTACGATATTTTCATTTATTCCAAACTTTGTACTAAAAAAACTAAAAAAAAATCAGAAAATGATTTACAATTATGCTGGATCCAGTGGAAATTGAATCCACGACCAATTAGAATCCAATTACCTTAAAAAAAACGCTAATTGGAGTTTAACTTTTTACAAATCATTTAACTTCGGCCCAACGTTTAGGATGCTTCGCAGCAGCCGTGGTCACGGAGGACTAAAGGGGATGGTGTCCAAAATCAAAACTACTATACACCGCCCACTGTGGGCGGTTAAATAATTTGACTCATACGTTTTGAGACTTTACCTGTTAAAAGGTGTTCAATTTAAATAATATTTATTTAAAGAAGTTGCAAATTGGAGTTATGTTAACGTCATATTTATCACAGTGATTCATAATTGAGAACACTCAATTATAATCACTACACTCAATAATGAACAGCTTGAAGAACCAAGTTATGCACTAAAATCGGAAAATCGAAATTCCTGTAACTCCATGAAGCACGCACAACCACTTACATACTGTTTGCCGAGACGGTAAGTCCACTTTTCATAATAACATAAACCGAGATGGTATTTAAACCCCATCATACTCAAAGATCACGTCTCTGTTACGCCAATTTCAGTCTTAAAGTAATTAGTAGAAGGTGAAATATAGCGTGGCAGCTTAGCTATACTTAATGTGTGTTAAATAGCAGTATCGCCAAGATGATAGGCGTTCCGATAGCCGATTCAGCAAAGCAGTGATTATTTGAATGGTGAATATTTGTAGAGAAACTTGATGTGATGTCTTAAAACAATCTTGGTTCGTTGAAACCTTCCTAGTGGCATCTCTGTGAAATGGATACACTGACATATCAAAAAGTAGCTAGATAGATAGATAGTTTTGCATTTATTTCCGAAAGCAGCATTGACAGCAATATTAGGTGATAACTTGCTGTGGTCCTTGCGAGTTAATCTTAAAACATAGACACATAATGTCGCGGACATTTTTTTTTGTAATTTAAAGAAGAATCATTATTTCATACAGTGTTTTTTGTTTCTTGAATCCTTTTCGTAGCGAACGCAACGGAAACCGTCATGATAATTTCCTCCGGGTTTTCCACATTTACAAAATAAAATATATTAAGTTACTATTTGCCTCTGCTTTTTAGCTCGCATTGCTTGCCAGAAATTACAATAATGTTATCTATGCTTTATAATATAAGTATAGACAACATTATTGTAATTTCTGGTATCTTCCAACAAAATATAATTTTTGTAATATTTATATGAGGCGTTAAAAAAAACATTATAGCATTTACTACTTTACTATTAATAGAATCACCGTAGAGTTCAGAATGTCATCTAAAAGCCGATAACACATCGTAGCGACGTGAATAGTGGAAATCTGCTCCTTTGCAACAAGTTGGAACAAATTGGACATGGTTTCCGCTATCCGACGATTACGTTGCCAATATCAATTTGATACAATCAAGTTTGTATTGATTTCTGTATGTTTATTTGAAATAACCTTATGATAATTTACGAAATTGCACATCTGTTATATTCTCGCAGAATAATGTATTTGTAATCAAAAGCCTTTTTTTTACAGAAAATGCTTCTGATTCTTGAATGTGCTTTATACTAAATACAAAAAAAAATGCTCTGGCAATCTTTCTTGTTCTCCAAATATTAACAGACTGAAACACGATTAAGCTTCACGGCGTTACATCTGTGGACAGTGGTTAGTGACGTCGTCGATATTATTACCACTCGTTTAATATTCAGATTCAAAAGTCCAACATGTTTTAGAAAAATTATTAAATGATTAGAAACTAGACACTATTAGATTACCGACAGCTCTACAAATTAAAGCATAAACATTTAGCTAACTGAATATATAGCTGTGCCGTGTCGTAAAATAGTTATTTTGCGGGTTAAAATTTATTTTTGCAAACGTCCTTTTTATCGTATGTAGTATAGCTGTTACCTCCACGTCTTTCTTGCCAGTTAATCTTAAATCATTTAAAAGAAATCATTTCCCCGTATCTTCA